TTTTCGAAATTAGAATTTTAAAATTGGATTTCAATAAGACAAATACCAGAGACACGTTATTGGAAGCGATAAAAAAAACAATAGTCAAATAAATTAAATCAACTAATACACTGTATCGAAACAATAGAACCAAATTCACAATAATTTATGGCCATTTATCTTAGAGCTAAAAGTCGATGTTTTTGCAACAAATATTCTTAAAATTGTTTTCCAGTGTATCCATGTACTTATAACGGTTGTACGCGTTAGGGGTGAGATTTACAATACGGATTGTTACTTTTTTAAATTTGAATAGTGCTTGGGCAACTATTTTTCTCCCTTTGATGCATGAGTTATATCTATGTAGTTATATTCGCGAATTAATTATTCTGGAGTTATTTATCGTAAGAAATTGCATAAAATTTAATGACAAAGGAAACATTCCAAAATTTTTTTTTTGTTTTTTTTTTCTTGTAGCAGAAACCGAGGAAATTTCTAAAAAGACAAGATGTGGTCACAGATTATGCGAAACGTGTTGATCTGTCTCTATGCTTTTATAATGTTATTTACTTATCATTAGGTATGTAGTTATTTACGTCACATTGACTCGTCAATACTTCCAAACAAAGAAGTAAGTATAATTAGAAAACAAATGGATGATTTAATTTTATGTAGCGCAGATAAAATTTAATCTAAAAACCAAACATCAACCGGACTGCGGACCACAAGTGCCGAATACAATAGAACTTTTTAGTGGTGGAATGTAATTAATTATATAAATCCATAACACTTGACTTGCGCCGATACTCATATTAAACAATTGTATTTTATTTGTTTTAAATTTGATATTCCTTGTTTATACAAAAAAAATTGCTCATCCACATTACTTTCCAGAATTATTACAAAATGTTAAAAATTAATTCGGTTCAGCCGCAAAAAATTTATATGTAGCAAAAAATGCGCTGTTTCTCAGTGTGACCACTGCTTTAATTGTGTCACAACAAAATTCGAAGAGCAACTGATCTATTACTACTTAATTTTGGTGTTACCATGAAAATATTACGGAATGTCACTATCGGCATGGGCAGTCTGTTAAGAACGTATTGGCCTTATGCTGTTACCGTTCTGCCAATATCTACCAATGATACCGCTTACTTAAGTTTATTATTAATGCTTTATATTAAAGTGATTTTAGGAAATAAGGGACGGTTTAATTAATAGTTTTTTCAAAAAAATATTTAACATATTTTAGTGCGATAAGTTACTAAAATTTTGGTTTTGTATTTGCAAATAGGTTTTTTTATATTATTTAGATAAAAAATATGAGGATAGTGTTGTTGATATTTTTTTTTAATGAATATCGGTTCGCGCTGATTTGATTTCCGGACTGACTTTACGTGTTTTTTTTTAACTTTAAATCTATTCTGATCGTTATTTTACAAATATGATCATGAAACTGATTTATGTATTACTTTTATAATCGAATCCATTGTATAACCGATAATGTTTCGAATATGTTTATCTTAGTTATTTTGTTTTATAGTTTAAAAAAATACGGCGTTAACCCTATTGTAAACTCATGGACAACATTGATATTATAAATATTTTAGTTATATATTGATCGTTAATAATATGGTATTATGTTTAGAATCTCTTGCCAGTTTACAGTTGATAAAATATTTTTATTTGTTGTTTATGGTTTTTAATGATAAGTTACTTTGTCTGTGGTGATGCTTTATTAATAAGAGTAGGTACATACATACATAAGTTTTCTGTTTTTTGTTTGTTTTATTTTATGTTATGAAGTTACTGTTACTGATTTTCTTTAAACAGGAAAACATTGAATACACTTTTATGTTTACGGAAGTTGTAGGATTAAATAAAGAAATAATATGCAATTTTAAGCTGGAGAAATATATTTTTCGAATTTTGAAAATGCATTTGAAAACATTTGCAAAGGACAATGAATAAAAAGTTTAACGACACGTGAATGTACACAAATAAATTAAGTACCATTATTATATTTCGATGCCTCCAATGAACACTACTCTAACTCCAAATTCGTAGGTTTACAGGAGGAGCGTTTAAACGAAAAAAGCTGATAAAATCTTTATTATTGCAGATGTATTTCTGGTTTTTTCTTGTGTAGCTAGCTGATTTACTCTTGCTTCGAACCCCATCAATAATGAATTTGTAATACTTTTAAAATAGTGAAGCGATTTGCGTGAAAAACGAAAATTTAAAAATTTTGAGTTAGAGTAGTGTTCATTGGAGGCAGCGATTTATAGGTTATCTATACTGATCTCACCCAATACACACACAGACGAAAGCTATGTTTACTTTGTTGGATTGATAAAAAGACTTAAAAATATATTTTCAAAACAAGATATAATTGCATCTTATTTGGTAATTATAACGCATGCTTTATTACTACTATTAATTAAGCATATGCTTACTGAATATTTAAACAATACATATGAAAGTGTTCGATAAATTTTATGACAATTGAGTCGTCTATTATCAAAGGTGGCAATCTGTGCATTTGAACAAGAAAATGTTATTGATATGTCAATACAGATTGATTTGAATATAATCGTCTCCTTCAAAGAATACGGTTCAAAACCTGCATTAAATAAAGGTTAATACTTAACCTGTTATTTATCTAAGATGTCGTTCAGAAGAGTTTTGTGGTTGCCAATGGAATACAAAGTCAATAATTCGTTTTTCTGATTTCCCAATAATTGTCCAAAAGTCACATTGCCGGCTTTGATACTAGTCGACTCAATTGTTATAAATGCATGTTTGCATAAAATTATTTCCTTGGAACTGTGTCGTATAATACTGCAACTCTATGTACAATAATTTTAAAAAACAACACATTATCTATGGATGTCAATTTGATTTTGTACAATAAAATTAAAAAATCACATTCTCTATGGACGTTAATTCCATTGTTTAGATATTAATTTTCTTATCTTACGTATAACGTTTAATTTCACCTACAGTAAGGATCAAATAACTTTATTTTAAATACTTAATTGCGTGTTTAGCGTTGGATAGAAACATTCCAAGAGAGGAACATTTAATAAAATGGGAAGCTGTTTAAGTGTTGTGTTTACATTGTCCACGGATAGTTATTGCTTAAGTTTTTTATTTCGAATCTCATTGTTAATATTTAAAAAATATTTCATGCAATACCAAATATTTTTATTTTTTTTTCTTCTTTTTTTTCACTGAACGGTATTATATTATATTTTTGTAACATCCGTTTTTTATAGTAGTTTATGTAATACAAAGTGAAGAATATTGAGGTGAAATTGTTGTGATGTTTTAAATCATTTTCATTAAAACGCATTTTTCACATGTAATTTTGTTTTATTGTTACTTGTATTTTACTGGTAGTTGGACCTCTTGTGAGTCCGCGCGGGTAGGTACCACCACCCCGCCTATTTTTACCTAATTTTTTTTTCCTACCTATGCTGATAGCCTTGAGAGGCTATTTCAGCTTCGCCCTAACGTGTGTAGGTGAGCTCACGGGGCTCAAATCGGAGTGTTGCTAACACTGACCCTAGCGAGAGTAGTGCTTCGCAGAATCTACCACCGGATCGGAAACGCGACCCACTGAGAAGACCCGACGAGAAACTCAGTGGGCTGTGTCTATGGGTTAATTCGCTCGTCGAGCCCTTCGTCGCAAGCGACGGGTTCGACGAGGACGGTGACCGGTGCTTGTGGTGGCTAAAAGCACCGTTAATGGATCAGGAGGATCCATAATGACGTGCTTTGGGCGACGTCGACGACTTACCATTCGGTCTACAGGATCGGGTATGTAGTTTCCAGGGGCCACGACAAGAGGGTTCTCATGTCGTGCCGCCTTCTCAAAGTGGCTATTTCTACCGTGAAGCAACAACGCGGCTTGGAAGGTAGCCGTTTTATTATTAAAACTTTTTATTTATTGCTTAGATGGGTGGATGAGCTCACAGCCTACCTGGTGTTAAGTGGTTACTGGAGCCCATAGACATCTACAACGTAAATGCTGCCACCCAACTTGAGATATGAATTCCAAGGTCTCAATATAGTTTCGACTACCCCGCCCTTCAAGTCGAAACGCATTACTGCTTCACGGCAGATAGGCAGGGTGATGGCACTTACCCGTGCGGACTCACAAGAGGTTTACCACCAGTAACTCATGTTTTCAAACTGTGCGGCGTCATTTATATAGGTGATGTCGATAATGTCAGTATCAAACACCCAGACCAAGAAAACGAAACATCGTGCGTATGTTGGGCCGACGTGGGAATCGAATCCACGATCCTCGCAACAGTCAGGCCCGCTAACTACTGCACCACTGAGTCAGTCAAACAGAGGCAGCATCATGACAAAAAATTTAAAAGGTATTAATATTGAAAATAAATTTGAAGTCGTTGTGGCCTAAAGGATAAGACGTCCGGTGTATTCGTATGTAGCGATGCACCGGTGTTCGAATCTCGCAGGCGGGTACCAATTTTTCTAATGAAATACGTACTCAACAAATGTTCACGATTGACTTCCACGGTGAAGGAATAACATCGTGTAATAAAAATCAAACCCGCAAAATTATAATTTGCGTAATCACTGGTGGTAGGACCTCTTGGGAGTCCGCACGGGTAGGTACCACCACCCCGCCTATTTCCGCCGTGAAGCAGTAATGCGTTTCGGTTCGAAGGGGGGGTAGCCGTTGTAACTATACTGAGATCTTAGAACTTATATCTCGAGGTGGGTGGCGCATTTACGTTGTAGATGTCTATGGGCTCCAGTAACCACTTAACACCAGGTGGGCTGTGAGCTCGTCCAACCATCTAAGCAATAAAAAATAAAAATGAGTTCAAAAGTGCATTCGATAAAACTGAGGAATCTTTTTAATCTTTTTAATTTTGTCACTGACATTTGAGGTTTGTTGCCATGCATGTCTGATAAAGTTCGTTACAAAATAAACAAAACGATAAATATGTATGTACCTACATATTCACAACGCGTTTGGTTATTTGCTAATGACGATATAAAATATGAGCGTTTTAGTTAACAATCCATAAATCGTGGTGCATACAAGATATGAATAGTAAATCGGTTTTCAATTTTCATATTTAAAAATTACTTTGCGATCGAAGCGAGGCTGTTGAGATCGGATTCCAGACTCTGAAAAAATGGATTAGCTGCTTTAAACTTAAGCTATTTTTGTACGAACTTGTGGGCAATTACATTGTGAACGACGCCAACCTTTTTGAAACACGCCTTTTCGGTAGGCAGCGGCTTGGCTCTGCCTCTGGCATTGCTGAAGTCCATGGGCGACGGTAACTACTCGCCATCAGGTGGGTCGTATGCTCGTCTGCCTACAAGGGCGATAAAAAAAGTGTTAATTGTATTGTGTAATTTCTGCCTCGCAAAACCGCAACAGCGGTGGTGGTATAAGCCCATGTGGATTTACAATACACCCTGCCACCAATACAATCTTTTAAAAGTTGCAACCACACGTTTGTCCATTAGATGGTAAGTCGCTCACCGTTGCCCATGGACATCAGCTATTCCGGGGACATAACCAAGACGCTGTTTACTACTGAACCTATATGAACCTCTTGTCTTTACTATTAACTCCCAGGATAGAATCGATAGTAGTAGATATGTAGTTGACAAGTGAAAGTTGTTTGATCGTAGAAAAAGAGACTCAGCAAATTTTTTTTACGACACAAATAATTGTTCAGGTATGGCGTCCTGAAATCCTTGAAATTTGGAGATTCGGGTCAAAAGAAGTTAAATTTCGCTAATAGAGCTTACGATACTTTCCGTAGGAAAAGGATCTGACTTACCTCGAGCTGATGCATCAGATAAAACTCATGTGTATATTTTTTACTTTAGCTTTGGCCATTTTGCTTGGAACATGAGGTCAAAATCACGATTTTTATTGTATTAAGGTTTTCCTTCAAGCTAAAGCACTCTATTTTGCGCGAGATATCGACGTGATTATGACTGTCGATGCACGGACATCCACAATCGCGCGGCGCGGGCGCCGGGAANACCTCGAGCTGATGCATCAGATAAAACTCATGTGTATATTTTTTACTTTAGCTTTGGCCATTTTGCTTGGAACATGAGGTCAAAATCACGATTTTTATTGTATTAAGGTTTTCCTTCAAGCTAAAGCACTCTATTTTGCGCGAGATATCGACGTGATTATGACTGTCGATGCACGGACATCCACAATCGCGCGGCGCGGGCGCCGGGAAGAGGACAGCGGCGCGGGGTCGCGGATTTACACCTTCTTCGAGACTTCGTGCAGCAACGCCACTCGCGACACTTGCTTATTACTCTTTTTATAAATTAACCAAATATTACACCTATCGTATTAATACAGTCCATTCTTTTATTTTATAACACCGGTCTACCCCAGAGCAGTCGAAAACAATGGCACAGTACCCATACCTGCAAATCTATTTCATCCAATGCCTCTTGCAATTCGTAAAGTCCTGGATCGTCAGGTGTAAACACCCGACACTCTTCATCAAAGAATCTCTCCATCTTCAGGCGCAGCTCTTCATCGTACCGAATGTCACGGTCGCGAATGTAAGCAATTTCTGAAGTTAACAATGGCGGTTCTTGGAAACTGAAATAAAAGATCATCATTTGCACACGTCATTTGTTTCCTGAATAGATCCATGTGGATCGAAGTAATTGATGGAATAACAATGCTCCAGTTCCTTGATATTGATATGACTTCTGCTGGACAAACAACAGTAATAAAAACTGGATATATCTATATAAATAAAAATTAAACAGATATACTGGGTGGCTTGTGAGCCCGCACGGGTAGGTACCATTAACCTGCTTATTACTGCCGCGAAGCATTAATTATTATTAAATGATATCTGTGTGCCTGGAGTTGGAACAGCGCCCCTAGCGGCATACGAAGGGAAGCTTTTTACTGGTGGTAGGACCTCTTGTGAGTCCGCGCGGGTAGGTACCACCACCCGGCCTATTTATTTCTGCCGTGAAGCAGTAATGCGTTTCGGCTTGAAGGGTGGGAGAGCCGTTGTGACTATACTCAGACCTAAGAACTTATATCTCAAGGTGGGTGGTGGTATTTACGTTGTAGATATCTATGGGCTCCGGTAACCACTCAACACCAGGTGGGCTGTGAGCTCGTCCACCCGTTTGAGCAATAAAAAAAATACTGAGGCTTCCTCGCACGTACTCGCTGCAGATTATGTCGAGCCAGGTGGTATTACTGCCTTACATCCGCCTCAGCACGTCATTTCTGCAACTTGGATGGTATACACGTTCTTTAGGAGTTGAAGCCCGGGAATCGCAGTCTATTTACTACAATATTACATTTAATAAAACTTCTGAGAGTATAAACTAAATCAAAGTATCTTGATTCTGGATACAAGGTAAAAATGAAAACTTAGCCGGCATTTTCATTGAAGGGTATTTCCTCCACGGTGTTTTCCGAGCGCTATGACATGTCCTTCTTCAAACGAGGCTTGCGGAGAGTACTTTATGGTAGGCAGCGGCTTGGCTCTGCCCCTGGCATTGCTGACGTCCATGAGCTACAGTGACCACTTACCATCAGGTGGGACGTATGCTCGTCTGCCTACAAGGGCAATAATAAAAAGGGAAATAAAAAAAGGGAAAACATTGAAATGAATGCATAGTTTAACTATTGAAATTAACAGACATGTAAAATTATAATAACTAGAAGTCCCGCAGTAGTCGAAATTCGACTATAATTAATTGGAATTGTAAGTTTGTACACTATTATGATTGTATTTTATACTTCTATAATCACAAATTACGCCAAGACTACTCTATAAAAAATATTAACAAAGGCAAACAATATTTAATCTATTCTCAATTTGACAACAGACGCCAAGAACTAAAGTTTGAGAATAAATAGTATGCATGCGTGTGTGCGTCAAATACATGGTATGTAGTGCGTGTAATGTTTTCTTTATCGATTTAATGTATCTTTTATACATTATTTAAAAAAAAATTAGCATTGTGCACTTCTTCTCTACATTCTCTATAAGTGTGGAAAATTTTATACTCCTCCGTCCGCGCAATTTTCGTAAAAAGGGATACAAAGTTTTTGCTTCACGTATTAATATATAGATAAGTTTAGACAATAATCCTTTTTTAACAATGCATCCATTGTACTTTACAAAAAGTGCCTTTCATTTATTAACGATAAGAAAATGACGGAATTACTTGTGGCCTCTTTTCCTAGAAACTCGTACAAAGAAATGTTGTTTCTGTTTAAATAGTCCTCTCTTTAATAGCTTATGACTAATTAATTGGTTTTGTCATTATATTATTTCCGATGTTTCGAATGCTTAACAGTTTTTGTGGTCATAGACGTATTTTTATTACGTGTCTACAACTTTTTTTTTTACGTGTCTACAAACCTTTTTTTTTTATCGCTTATATGGGTGGACGAGCTCACAGCCCACCTGGTGTTAAGTGGTTACTGGAGCCCATAGACATCCACAACGTAAATGCGCCAGCCACCTTGAGATACAAGTTCTAAGGTCTCAAGTATAGTTACAACGGCTGCCCCACCCTTCAAACCGAAACGCATAACTGCTTCACGGCAGTATTAGGTAGGGTGGTGGTACCCACCCGCGCGGACTCACAAGAGGTCCTACCACCAGTAATAAAAATCGATTTCTAAAATCGAAGAAAATTTCCGACCTATGCTCACAAAAAAGATTAGCAGGTTTTTTTTTTCTGTGCCCTTTCTGTTATTCTTCTTCCTATTCGTGCACTCTTGACAGAGTGGTCATGGTCATGCATCAGTCAGATACGACCTGCTCATGACTCTCGTGGGAAATTAGTGCATTGGTTTCCCGTTGCCTTCTGCACCAGCATTTTAGGGGGTATTTGATCCCCAAGGTTTCTGACGCCTCTTCCGTACAGGTTGTCCTGACGGGTGTGTATACCGCCATTGCTCGGTCGCCATTGCCGATGAAGATGGTGAAGGTAGCATTCCGATCTCCCCTTCTGTTATTACAGTTAACTTATTCGTGATACCTGTATAATGAATCCAGATAGTCAGGTGGAAACGCGTCCAGAGCTGTTCTTAACTCCTCCCACGGATCACGCGTATTTCTGTTCTTCAACTGTAACATAGAAAACATATGTCAAACATATGTTTTTTAATTTAGCGTGTACGGTTTTATGGCAAAACGATTGGACGCTGCCAAGAAGCATACGGCCTCATTTTCCACTTGATTTTAAGCATTTATCAGAGGAACAGAGAATGAATGTCACATGTTAACGTTGAAGTCTCAAAATGCATTAAAATATCCTTAGGTCTGCAGAAATTAGACAGCTGTCACAAAACTCCGCAGTTTACGCGCGAAAATTATAGGCATAGTTTGAGAAGCACGCCATCTTCTCAATTATGTTTAACCCTCAGAAACACCCCACTGAGTTTCTCGGCGAATTTTTTATTTTTCTTTTATTGTCGCCCACCTGATGGTGAATGGTTACCGTCGCCCATGGACTTCAGCAATGTCAGGGACAGAGCCAAGCCGCTGCCTACCAATCTTCTCAGTGGGTCGCGTTTCCGATCCACCGGTAGCTTCTGCGAAGCACGGCTCTTGCTGGGTTTCGTGTTAGCAACGTCGTCAGGTTTGAGCCCCGTGAGTTCACCTACTAGTTAAGGTTACGCTGAAATAGCCTCTCAAGGCTCTCAGCTTAGGAAGAAAAAAAAAAAGATTATATTTAGGTTGGCTGTAAATTTGAGCATCGGCTAATATACATTGAGATTCTCGCGTAGTGCACAACTCTACTAGTTCAGTGACATCGACCGTTGATTAGCAAACAATCAAAGATGCTGTCGTCCTTCTGACCCCGCGACCTCGTTTGTTTTTTGCAATACACTGAGTATCGTCTTGCAATCGTGTCCAATAATTGAGTCATGGAATAGATAATTAAAGTTACCTTAAGGAAAAAAAAAAGTACTTAGGGTACAAGGGTACCTTAATTATTTGTTCCGTGATTTGTGTATTTCATTTTGGCCTTATATAATTGTTATGTCTGCCCAGTTCTAAACTAGAAAATATAGTAGACTTTTATATAAAATCGAACAACGCCAGTTCACCAGAAGACATCACTTACAATGGAAAAAGGAACAATACTCTAAGTTAACCTTGCGCATAATATTATAAGACGTATCTAGTACTTTACTAGAAAGCTTAATCTAACGCTCACTAATGTGATTCAAATTCAAATTCAAATTCAAAATCATTTATTTCAACTTAGATGCCAGTATGACACACTTGTTGAATGTCAAAATACAAATAACAATGTTAACTCTACCACCGGTTCCAAAAAAAGCCACAGTCCTGAGAAGAACTGGCGAAACAAACTCAGCGGGCTTTTTTTTTTTTGTTTTTTCTCAAATATTTTCTTTTTTTTTAAATAAATAGAAATATTCACAATAAAAGAAAAAACAAGTCAAAAAAATACAATTAAAAAAATAATAATAATAATGAAAAATGAAAAGGCCAGGAGCGAGCGCCTCATTCCCACGATCATAGTATGATCAGAATTAGGTACTGTCAGTTTGTAATTATGGGCGTACAGCATGCTTCTAGGTCCATTAAATGGAAATATTATTACAATTCTGAACAGAAACCTTGACCTCATCTTTTATTGATTTATTTGTTTATGTTTTATTTATTTATTTGCCTAGATGAGTGGACGAGCTGGCGATAAGTTTACCGAAGCCCATAGACATCTACAACGTAAATGCCCCATCAATCTTGAGACATGAGTTCTAAGTCTCAGTTTTATAGTACAACGGCTAGCTTAACCTTCAAACCGAAACGCATTACTGCTTTACGACAGAAATAGACAGGGCTATGGTACTTACACATGCGGACTCACAAGACATCCAATACCACCACCAGTAATAGTCTGCTAAGTTCTATGGAAAACATCAGATTTTTCAGGGTCACGTATTCCAGAAATGCTAAAGGACACTTCTTACCGCTAAGTCCTTCTCGAACATTATTTAAAAAACAAAAATTTAACAGTACCTATATAGTAAAATAATAATCAGTTTTCTCAGTAAAATAATAAGCAATTTATAAAAAAAAAAAGATCGCATCATATCTAAATACTACCGACCCGCCCTCGCTTCGCTTTAACTGTAATTTATTATTGATTTCTCCACTATTTAATGGATGTTATTATACATATAAACCTTCCTCTTCAATCACTCTATCTATTAAAAAATAACCGCATCAAAATACGTTGCGTAGTTTTAAAGATTTAAGCATACATAGGGACAGACAGATATAGTAACAGAGAAAGCGACTTTGTTTTATACTATGTAGTGATGAAATAAAAGTCACACTAACCCGTCTATACCATCCATAGTCGATTTCCGAGTCTGTCATAGCTCTGGACAATGGTAAGCTCGAGTCGAGACTCAGATTAGCGGATTCCGAGTCATCGACAGGACTGTTGAGCAGGCTGTCGCTAGACGTGCTCAAACAGTCTTCGTGCTCAGTCCAGACGTAAGGTGACAGACTGACTTCCGGTATATCGAGTTCATTAACAAAATCATAACGATTTTTCGGTATAGAACTTAAGAACGTTTCGAACATTTCCATATTGCGTGAACTCTTTTTTAAATGATTGCTACTAAATATTTATATACTTGCGTTTATTACATTCTTTTTAATAAATAATTTGAGCAGCTAATAATCGAAAATGCATTAATTATAAATTAATAAATATTCTTTGGACAACGGCTAACTTTTAAATAAATAAATATTGATTAATAAATCGAAATAACCTTCGAGAAATTTCTAGGCGCGCAACAACTACATTTATATCTAATTGTCGAACTAGAGAACGATCATGATCCTTTGATATTAGTGAATCTTAATGTACGTACGTACGTATAGAATTTTTTTTTTTTATTGCCTTTGTAGGCATACGAGCATACGGCCCACCTGATGGTGAGTGGTTACCGTCGCCCATGGACTTCAGCAATGCCAAGGGCAGAGCCAAGCCGCTGCCTACCGCTTAATACTCTCCACAAGCCTCGTTTGAAGAAGGACATGTCATAGCGCTCGGGAAACACCGTGGAGGGGTGCTCATTCCATAGCCGGATGGTACGTGGCAAAAAAGATCTCTGGAAACGCACTGTGGATGACCGCAGTGGCTCCAGGTAGTATGGATGAACTCTACTGCGGTGGCGGGCGGTGCGATGATAAAAACGAGACGTTGGTATCATCTCGAACAATTCCTCAGAGTACTCCCCATGGAACATGCGGTACAAAATACAGAGGGAACCGAAGTCCCTCCGCAGACCCAGAGGCTCCAAACGATCCAAATTATAAACAGTACAAGTATTTATCACTGTTAGGTGTTCTATGATTAGAATGATTAAATGTATTTACCACATAATTAACATTTATTAAAATCACCAGTAGGTAACTCTTAGACGAAATATCTTCAAAATAACATTAATTTATAAATCGTCACAAAAAAAACAGAAGTAAACAATGAATTGGATATATGACCTTTAATCTAAAGCCTGATTCAGTAAAAAAAAACAAAGAATCCTAAACATCACCACATATTTCCATTGAATTTTTCTACCACAGATTATTTAACTATTGAACTCAAATTTTTAGCAAGAATTTCATCATCAATTTTCTTACTAATCAGTAAGTTGAATATCAACAGTTTAACAAAATTCACGCGATCTAAATCACGTAGCGCACTTTTAAACTGATCCCAAGAGCGTACTGACTGTCGCTTTCACGCGTTTACAACTTCAACTTAGTTTGGTCGATTTTCGGTTCCTACCTACGTACGTGAGCCAAGCCNACTCAAATTTTTAGCAAGAATTTCATCATCAATTTTCTTACTAATCAGTAAGTTGAATATCAACAGTTTAACAAAATTCACGCGATCTAAATCACGTAGCGCACTTTTAAACTGATCCCAAGAGCGTACTGACTGTCGCTTTCACGCGTTTACAACTTCAACTTAGTTTGGTCGATTTTCGGTTCCTACCTACGTACGTGAGCCAAGCCACGTCGCACACTCTTTCTGGAAGCACGCTTCGGCAACTGATTATACTATACAATAGCCTAGTTGTGAAATGTAAATAACATTACGAATAATTTTCAGTGTGCTTAGTGCGAGTTTTTAACGTTCGCGATAGCGCAAAAGTTAACTCAAATTTGTATGGAGTTGGAACGTTTGCCTACGTTTGCCGCTAGGGGCGCTGTTCCGACTGCATACAAATTTGAGTTAACTTTTACGCTATCGAAAATGCTATAAAACTCGCATTAAGCACACTGAGCTTTTGACTAGTCGTGTGGTCGAATTAGAACGAAGTTCCGTCCGAAAATGCTGCTTTTGTTCGAATACGTCGTCGTGGCCTAAAGGATAAGATGTCCGGTGCATTCGTATCTAGCAATGCAACGGCTTGCGAATCCCACAGGCGGGTACCAATCATTTTTTAAAAATGAAATACCTACTTAACAAATGTTCACGATTGATTTCCACGGTGAAAGAATTTAATAACATCGGTTTTTTTGTTTCCTACCTATACATACCCTTGAAAGGCAATTTCAGCTTCGCCCTAACATGTAGGTGAGCTCACGGGGCTCAAACCGGAGTGTTGCTAACACTGACCCTAGCAAGAGCAGTGCTTCGCAGAATCTACACCGGATCGGAAACGCGACTCACTGAGAAGATCCGGCGAGAAACTCTTATAATAAAAATCAAACACGCAAAATTATAATTTGAGTCATTAATGGTGGTAGGACGTCTTGTGAGTCCGCACGGGTAGGTACCACCCACTCATCTAAGCAATAAAAAAAAAACGTCGAAAAACTCGATCTAGATCTAGTTTCCAGGCTATCTAGTCTCTCTTATCTAGTTCTTAACGACCTCGACGGAGCCAAATTCACCAGTTTTGTCCGGTTACATTTGCTTACGAGTTGTTTGTGACATAGCAATTTAAGAGATATCTTCGGCCACTTAGTTTGAATATCTGGAATGAACTAGCGTCCGCAGCTCACGTATTTCATTCAATAGTTAGCGGAGTCTATGGACATCAATCACATCATGAACGGCTCAACCACCCTTGAGTCATGAAGTCATAAACCTCATTTCTATGCCTTCCTAGATATACGAGCATCGGCCAATTAGATAGTTAGTGGTGACTGTCGCCCGTGAACAACAACAATCCCAGGGATTGCTTTCAATCCTCGTTTGAGGAAGGACGACGTAGCGTCTTGGAAAGATCCGTGAGACGGAGGTCATTCCTGTTGATGCTTAATGACACGAATGATCACTGGAAATCAACTGTGAAAGATTACAGCGGTTCGATTTAATTAGGATGAGTCAGATCACACCAATATTCCCTGTGTGTTTAGTGCGACTTTTTTACCGTTCTCGATAGCGTAAAGGTTAATTCAAACTTGTATGGAGTTGGAACAGCGCCCCTAGCGGCAAACGTAGGCAAACGTTCCAACTCCATACAAATTTGAGTTAACTTTTACGCGATCGAGAACGTTAAAAACCTCGCACTAAGCACACCGATCAATAGCTGGACAAGCTCTTGTCAAAGTACGATCCTCAAAGCTGTTTGTTTACATCTTGCACCAGCTTTGCGGTCAATTGCTTCCAGTAGGTATTCTTTTTTTTTTATTATTGCTTAGATGGGTGGAAGAGCTCACAGCCCGCCTGGTGCTAAGTGGTTACTGGAGCCCATAGACATCTACGACTTAAATGCGCCACCCACCTTGAGATATAAGTTCTAAGGTCTCAAGTATAGTTCCAGTATTTTCAGTATTTATTCCAGTATTATCTCTCAGCAGGAACAAGCTGCCTGCAGTTACGAGTATTTTCGAACTGTTAACACTGTCTATATCATGAAATATAAATCTTAAGCTTAGTTAAAATATCTTATATCTATATCTATAAAAATGAATTGCTGTTCGTTAGTCTCGCTGGACTCGAGAACGGCTGGACCGATTTGGCTAATTTTGGTCTTGAATTATTTGTGGAAGTCCAGTGAAGGTTTAAAAGGTAGATAAATATGAAAATGCTCGGAATTAAATAAAAATAACAATTTTGTTTTTCCTTTGATGTGTCCCCCGTCGCGGCGTCGGACAGATTCCTTTTGTGTTTGTATATTTTATACAAAAGTTTAGGTCTTTTATTTATCGATAGAGGCACTGGGAAGTCTGCCGGGTCAGCTAGTTTATAATAAATATGAACTCGGCTGTATGCTACCGGATTTCAGTAGAATCATAATTGGTTGACTGTGATTTAGCGATCAATGAAAATAATGGTAAAAGGATAATCTTGGACCGGATTTGAAAAAATGCCACTAAAATGAATAAAACTTTTTATAAAATTGTTATTGCTAATATGGATGGACAAGCTCACGGTACACCTTAAATTAAGTGGTCACCGGAGCGAATAGATATATATAAAAAATCTCCACATTTACCAAATTCAAATTATATTGATTATGGTGATAATTTTACTTCAATACATCGAGAGCTGAAAGGTGGCTTAAGCGATATTTCGCTTATTACGCGACATTTATCTTTGTAATTAGCGGTCCGTTTTATATCGTATTCGTATTAATAATTCGACGTTCTTAATTGGGCTTCAATTATGTTAACCCCATTCAACTAGCTGAAGAAGTTTTTTGTCATGATATTTTTCCCAAAATTTTAAACTTTAAATGGCTCACCAGTAAATTTACAAAAATGTCGCTTAGACCAAATAGCCTTTCACCTCGCGATATGAATTATTATGAATATTAGATACAATTAACACACTATGACTCAAGGTACGAATTCCCGATCCTGTGGACAGAATGGAAAGCAGTCGACGTCGCCCCAAACACGTCATCTCGTATCCTCCCGATCCACTAACGGTGCTTTTAGGTACCTCAGGCACCGGTCATCGTTCGCGTCGAACCCGTCGCTTGCGAAGAAGGGCTCGACGAGTAAATTAACCCCCAGACACAGCCCACTGAGTTTCTCGCCGGATATTCTCAGTGGGTCGCGTTTCCGATCCGGTCGTAGATTCTGCGAAGCGCGGTTCTTGCTAGGGTTCGTGTTAGCAACGTCGCCAGGTTTGAGCCCCGTGAGCTCACCTACTAGTTAAGGTTCCGCTGAAATAGCCTCTCAAGGTTCTCTGCTTAGGTAGGAAAAAAGTCGGAACGCTCGCCCCAGCCGGGCCGCAGACGTCACGTTTGCACAAACGTCTAACAAACGCAATAAACTGCGACTGATTGCAACAAAACTTTAGACAATAAGAAACAAGAGTCAATACTTGTTTACGGGGCGCGAGCATCATGGCAGATCGCCCAGAAATGTAGCAGCCGATAGCGTGATGCGGAATGACGCCACTATCCTGCCCTTGCACTTGAATACCTGGGCGGCAAACGACCAGACAACTTCATACAATAGCGCGCTCGTATCAGCTGAGAAATTGATATGAGATTAATCTGTCTGACTGAACTGGCACAGCGCGCAGTTTGCCGCCCCGCGCTCGCTTGCTCAGTCATGCTCATGAGTCGATAGCACTCCCGGATGGATGTGCTTAACGGTTCGCCGTCGCTGCGACTGCGCGGCGGCATCAATAATAACAGTGACAGCAAAAAACACGAGTTGAACCAGTGCACTAGTGCCATGTCGCCGGAGACTCAGCGACTCCTGCCGCCCACTAGTGAGACTATAATGACGAAACCGTTCCCGATCCGAGGTAGCTATATTAAATCTGTTATAGTTTCTACTAAAAATAATTCGTTTATGTGACGTTGACATCGCCTCATAGTCCCCTCTTGTTGATACAACAAACGACAGCGCGCCGGATTGTGTGTGTGCGTGCAAAAAATTGCATTGGATGCGTTCTCAAGTCACCCTTCCCCCGAACCGGACAGCGGAGATTAATCGTACGATGCTCTAGTTGTTAGCTTGGAGCCGTTTGCACGATAACCTTGTCGACTTAATCCAGTTATGACCGACTGACTTGTGAAAATAATATACAGAAACTCACTAGTTCGATTTGTAGAAACTTCATGTGCGTTTTTAAAATAATTATTAGTTTTTATCCGTAAATTGAGACAAGTTGAACGGCTACTGCAGTCTGTAAACCTACGATCGAATCTCAAAGGCATTAGAATATTAAATAGCTTCGGCGCACTCACAACACGTTCTACCAGTAATTATACAAAATAGGTTATCGCGTACGCGCATATGTCGCTATAATTCGAATACAGGGATTACTATAAACAATCCCAAAATCGAAAACAGGTCAGAGAGCTGTGCTGGGAATTTTTAACACAAAAAAACGATATTTACAATTTTTCCTTGGCTTGTTTCTACTTTCTCTTAAACTATAAAAGATCAGCTGACGCGCGGGTTCAATGGCCTCTGGGGTGCGCCTTCCAGCTGCGTTACAGGTTTTATAAAATACTAGCGGCCCGCTCCGGCTCCTCTCGGGTCTTTAACAAAAAATTCAACGATATTTGACGTTGTTTAATTTTTTTAAATAAAAGAAAACTTATTGCGGCATAACTATAATAGTTAGACATATGCGTCACGATACTTTTTGTAAATAATAATGTGTTCTTCAAAGTCGTAGTACATTATTTTATTCTGTCATCAATAGTTTTCGCAGAGCATACGATGTAAAAAATAGTTTAGGTAATTTTTTTACACCTTGGGTTACATTATTGGAGTTTTCGTAAGGATCCCTATTTTTTTTCAAAAAGATTATAAGTAACCCTATTTCACTCGGGAATAGTGTAGCTTCCAAACAGCGTAAGAATTTTTCAAATCGGTTGAGTAGTTTCGGAACCTATTCAATAAAACATACAAACAAATCTTTCCTCTTTATGATATTAGTATGGAAGTAGGAAGAAGTACAGATTCACAGACTACAACATACACTCATGGTTATGAACAGCTTTCAATGGAAATACTACCCCCTCGGGAATGCCCGAGGGGGTAGTATTTTATTCTCCTTTCGGCTTCGGAAGACCGGACGCTCTGTTTATTGGAATGATATTGAAAGTTATAGTTGGCTAAGAGGTGAAATTTGCCCAAACAACTTCTTCAAAATTAATTTTCTGGTTAAATATTATTGACAATAAAAAGCAATAACATGTTACAAATAAAAATAAGTTCAGAAACACGTCAGAATATCAAAATTACTACTTAAACAAAATGCATATTAGACGTTTAAGTAACAAAGTAGGTAACTAAAAGGTCCTAAAACATTATTCTATTTTTCTTTTTCTTTTTAAATATTTTGGCTTAGGAATCTCGATAACAGGACAAAAAATCTTTGAAAAAAAAAAGAATTTCAAAAGACTTAGTTACTGAATTGAACATTATTTTCAAATCTTAAATTTAAAAAATGAAAATCTCGAATGTGTGTGTATGTGTGTAATGGTTGCGACGAAATTTGTAAAATAAATTTTCTTTGTAATTTAAATTATTGTGAACACATTAAAAAAACATTCAACAATAATCTTAACAATGTAAAAGAGTAATTCTTTGTCAAACTTCCCACTGTCATGTTAGTTCATTGACTACATATTGACTGCAACACCTATTGTTGGAAACTTCAATGCCATATATAAGAATATGATTTGTTTAGAACAATAACAGTAATTTGTTTAAACAATTGAATGATTTGGTGCAATAGTTAGCAGACTTAGACTAGACTAGATTAGACTCCTGGACTTGTGGGTTCGATTATCACGTATTACTTATGTGAGACGAAAAGGTTTGTTTGCTCTTTATCAGGATGTTTATTATCTATATATGTGTTTGTTTTAAACGTAAATAGCACTTTTTGGGGGGAACGCAAGAAGTGAAGCTGTGCGTTTTGTTTTAACGGTGCTTTATGCACTGTTTAATATCTCTGAAAGTGCACAAATGTGGGAAAATGAAACAAAGCCGCTGGACGTAATTTCTCGGGATCCTCCAAAAAGTACACTGAAAAAATCTTCGTAAATGACCAACATTTTACTACATCTTAATACATCTCATTTCATTTCATGATCATGATCTCATCTCGTTTCATTTCATTTCATCTCAGTTGATTAATGTCTCAAATTAATCATAATTTCATTTCGTTTCACTCCATATTATCATTTTTCATAAAAAAAAAGAATATAAATTAAAATAAGACATGACCTAAAGGTCGTAGTTACCGGGTCATAAAATCCCTTAGAAAAAAACATAAATAAGTATTTACATCAGTCTCTGGTTCCCATAGTACAAAGAATCTTAGTTCGGGGCCCGATGACAATTTGTGACTTGCCTTCCTGGTAACATATTAATAATAATGATGACTTAAATAAAGATTTGCATTTTGTTCTTTTTTTCCTTCAAAAGTGTCAACTGCAATACAATAAATTTAATTCATAAAATAATTCCAACTCTTGAAGTATCAGTGATTTATATCATACGAATCATTCAATCACTGTTCTCAAGAAATATTAATGATTTATATCCGAAGAAGCTAAATGAAATTTAATGTAACCTTTTTTTCCCTTCAAACTAAACACGAGCGACGACGAATTCAAAATTTGGCCAATCATTAGACCCCAAACGAAGCCTCAATTAGTGAAGTAACATTTAGCAGAGTTTCGTTCGGTTTTCGCCGTCAATTACGTAGAGCAAAAACAGTCCGTTACCCTATTGTATTATTGATCTTTTGAAGACACACGTCCGACCTTGCGTGCCGTCGTCGCCCGCGTCCTTGCTAATCACACCACAATCACGGTCGAATTTCATGTTGCCTTACTGTTGGCGAATGTATTTGTGTATAAAGTTCTATTTAGGGACTAGTCGGTATTTCGCCGGGACTCGCCATATGTCGGGATCTGATTTAAAATAGAATAAAAAATAAAATGAAAATTCATTCGTAGGTATGTCCTTAGTTTAAATTTAGAAGTAGAAGTCGGCATGGCTCAAAAGACGCGGGGCTTAGTATTCTGATATATGTGTCAACTTGGCGTCAGGTGGGCCGTGGTGAGTCCGTTCACCCATAGAAGCAATAAAAAAATCATTCCTAAACATTCGCTACTCTACTAATTAATCTCCGTGTTTTTAAGGAAAAGATCTCTAATCTACGATCCCAGGTGGAGTTAACACTAATTGGCAATAGCAATGAAATCGGGCTAATCAATTAAATTAATCAAGTGATTGACAAGAGAATTTATTTAAATGCTCACAATACGTTTGTCTTAGATTTGTACGCAATAATGTAGGCAACAGCTTTAAACAGAGCCGCAGAGTAGAAAATCATACACAAAAATATTGTATATTTTTGTATTTATTTATTACGGACTATGGAGGGTAGAGGTAAGGAGAACCGTCATATGGGAGAAGCTTGAAAAAGTGTCCCACTTTCAGCACTAAATAACAGTTCAAAAATCCTCCAGAATGGCGCTAGCATAGGCCCAGGGTATGATATGAACTGATTGAAGTATGCTGAGTTAGGAAATTTCATATATTTAAGACTAGAGTAGTTAGTGACAGTGTACACAAGACCTCACATGTTTACGTAGTCCAAACTAATTTCGTCAATATAACCTAAAACTATTGCTGTGGTAAAACGTGGAGACGTCGATTGCATTTTGTTATCAGCTTTAAATAGAATACTTTTTGTGATTTAGTAGTGCTTACAGTTCTTTCGTCCTTTTTTATTTCTCTATCTTATTCTAATAATTATGAGCGCCTTTTTTAAAATTTACTCGATGGCTACTGTAGCGCCACCCTTATTAAACAGATTTTAACGGGTACTTTTTCACACACAGAGACGGCTCTCCTTACCTCTACCCTCCATGTTACGGACATAATTTTCACGTTGCGGTAATCTGTAATTTAATTTTTTTTTGCACTTCATATGCAAATTATGAAGAATAATGAGCTATCAATTTAAATACGGATCTACCTACCATTTCCAGCACATTGTGTCTGATCTCACCTATGAATTTTACACATGTGGATTTTTTTGTATTTGTTTGTCTTAGTTATACATTCATCTAAATAAAACAAAGAATTGGCATGATTTTTTTAAAAGCTATTGATTGTTTGAGGTTAGGCGAGTGACATAGGCTACCTTTTATCGCGAAAAATAATTACATTCCACGAGAAACTGTTTTATTGTCTCTAAAAAATATACGTGACATCTTAGAAAACAAATATTTACACTCTTTCTGGACCGAGTAACAGTTAGTATAATATATGAGCATAGTCGAAGCGTAGCCCTGTACTTCTGTGATACTGCGAACAATTAGTAATAGTAAACATTTATGAATCTTCCAATTTCGTTACTATTTGCTCTCAGTGTTGACCCATGCTGTCGTATGATAGCAGCAGACGTCCTACCTACGGGCACTACGTGTTTTGTTGATATTTCTGTTCACACATACGTGACGGTCATGCGGTTACGTCAGACCGCATTAGCTGTTGCGTGTCGGTGACGTGGTTCACACAAGAATATTTCGCTTAGATATTATTTTAATGCATGGAAAATGACATTTCTAAAACAACGCTAACTGGGCAGCGGCGTCTTTCTTCAGAGAGGGTATCGCAAGAGACTCTTGCACCGGGTCATTGTTTTTGTAGACATTTATTCGCGATAATTCCAAGGATCTAAGACAAACATCAAACGTGCGCATCTGCCGATCTTGTTAACAAGAACATTAAGTTTCTGATGCATTCAATTTTTATACGAGTGTA